GGATGGAACCAGAGCCCCTGTGCTCAGCTGGCTGCCCTGGGCAGCAGAGGCCCTGACTGCCCTATGAGGGTGCGGGATCTGCCCTCGGGGCCACCAGCCTGGCCCTCTTCAGGGCAGCAGAGAGGCCGGTTGACAGGCCGGGCTCACTCCTCCGCCCCCTTCACTCCTCCGCCCCCTCCACCTCGCCAGGCCCCGCAGACACAGTGAGGCTGAGGCCCCCACCCCCACTGCCTCCCTCTGCCCACAGGCTGGGCCTCCGGGTCTCCAGGATGTGGCCGCTGGGGGAGGGTGTCGAGGAGGGCCCTCTCCATCCCAAAGGATGGGCAAGCCGCTTACAGGGGGCTCGCAGGGCTCTGGACAGGGAGGAGAAGGAGGAGAAAATGGGTATCCCTTTCCACGTGGGATGTGAGCAGCGTGGAAGCTTGTTACAGTCTTTCCCCAACACCAGGAGAGATGTCCTGGCACCTCCACAACACAGAGCATTCTTGCACCTAGCACAGCCGGGGTGGGGGTGAAGACCAGCACCCCATGCCGCCCGGCCCGCCCAGCGCCAGGCTGGCACACACCCGCAGCCCAAGCAACGTCTGTTGGGTGCCTTGAATACAAGCATCCATGCCCAGAATCTCCTTGAGGTTTCAGCCAGGCATGCCCACCCATCCCCCAGCCCGGGGGGACAGGGGACACCATGAGCGGTGGCGGCCTCCGTGACAGAGGCAGGCAGCTCAACCGGGAGCTGGGGGGTGGGGGTGCCCGGCTTGGCTAATTAAACAGTGACTGTGATGAATCGGGGAGAGGCTGCTGCTTGCTAATTAAAGGTGCGGGCGTCTTGCCTGGCAAGGGTGGAAGGCTGGAGCAGCTCTGGCACCATGTCGGCCCAGGCCAGCAAGGCGGCACCAGGCGAAAGCCCCTCCGCTGGCGCCAGGCATCCCTTCCACCCTCCGGCCCTCCCAGCGGGGCCCCACGGCCCCCTCCCCACTTCCCTATCTCTGCTACCCACCTTGCTCCAGCCTGGGGCCTGGGACTTCCCCTCCCCACCAACCCAAATCGCCTTCCTGATAAGGGCCCCGTTGGGGAGGAGCCTGTCGGTGCCCAGTGACTGGGCTGGTAGTGGGCATCAGTTCCAGCCTCAGAGGTGCTCCCTTCCACCCCCTCTCCCTAAGCCCCAAGTTTGGGCAAATGAGTGACTCTAGGGAATGAGGCCCGAGACAACTTTGAGAATTGTAGGTTTTGAGACACCTGGCCTTAGGCATCACCCAGTTTCCCCGTCCTCGGCACCAGGACGCTGGTGGGGTCCCACCACCCAGATGTTCTTGTGTGAGAGAGAGACTGGTAGAAGAACGGTGCTCCTTTCTGGCCTGGGTGCTCCAACCTGGAAAAGAGAAGCCAGGGGGGCCAGGCCTGGTGGCGCAAGGGGTTCATGAGCAGCATATGGAGCTACCCACAGCCACCGCAGCACGAGTTCGATCCCCAGCCAGGGGGTGACCCCACGTGGCGCAGCAGTCTCTGGACTGCACCCCTCAGCAGTGTATTTCAGTCAGTCGGCCTGTTCTGTTCCCCACTCCGTCTCTGGTGAATGTTCTCACCCCCCCCCAACACCACTGGCCTGTACCCCAGTTCTTGTATGCATCAATAAATAAGTCTTTTAAAAAAGAGAGGAAAAATGGGCCCTCCCTGGTGGCCCAGCGGGTTAAAGCACAGCACTGAGAAGCTAAAGCCACTTCCACAATGAGTTCGATCCCCGCCTGCCCCGGAGGAGATCCACATGGCGCGGCAGACCTCTCCTGACCCGCCCGCTGCTCCTCTCAGCAGTGTCGATCTGCCTGTTCTGCTCCCCACTCTGTCTCTGGTGAAGCCTCTCGCTGCCCCTGAGCCTCTGGCATGTACCCCAGTTCTGTATGTACAAATAAATAAATCTTTAAAAAGAGAGAGAGAGAGAGAGAGAGAGAGAGAGAGAGAGAGAGAAAGAAAAAGAGAAGACTGGAAGGAATACTCCGGAAGATCCTGGGAGGCTTGGACGTGGGGAACGCGAAGCCCACAGCCATGGCTGCCGGTCCCTCCTCGCCTAGACTTGAAGGAGGGGCGCTCGGGGGCTCCGGGGCCACGTGCCTGGGCTGGAGTCCAGCCCCACCACTGGCCAGCTGTGTGCCCCAGGCAAGGCAGCCAATGTTTCCATGCCTCAGTTTCCCCTTATGCAAAGCTGGGGATGGTAATCCAGTGAGGTACTTAGTGTCGTGTTTGGTCTACAGAACAGGCCTGGAAATATTGAAGAGCTCGGGTGGATGGAACCTGGAAACTCCTCTCATCCATGTGACTTGGACCTTGTCTGAGGACAGTTATGCCTGTCACTCTCCCTCAAGGCCTCTTACCCCCTCTGACCCCAGGAGATTTTGAGGGAAGGAAAGCAGAATGGAAAGCAGGAAAGGACTGAAGGAAGTGTTCAGAGAGGTTAAGCAACTGACTCGAAGCCACACAGCTCAGCTGAGGGCAGAGGCAGCCTGGGGTCCTGGCGTGGGAGGAGAGGCCCGGTGGGGTCCAGTGGAGACATCGTTGAGCTTCTATGCACTCCAAGTCCTGAACCAGTCGTCACAGAGGGAACAGGGAGAATATGAGTTTCACTCTGCCTTCAAGGGGACCCGGCCTGGAAGGGTAGAGAAAGACACAAATAACGAGACTGCATCTGGGGGGCGGCAGGCTCCCCGGGGCTGAGAGGTACTGCTTTGTCTTAGAGATCTGCTTGCAAAGCAAAGGTTCTGCTTCTATTCGGGGGAGAAAATCAGCGTGGAGGGGTCTGGAGCCGGTGCTGATAGAGTCCCTCTGGCGCTTTTAAGAGAATCTTTCACAAAGGGAGCCAGCTGCTTGCTCTAGAAGTACCAGGTGGTCCTTATGGCTAAGGTACCCGCATCTGTGATTGTGGGGTCTATCACTGGAGGAGTGTGGGGGTCCTGGATGCTGTGGTTCCAGGCCTTCACTGACCGCCAAAAAGACTCCATCCACCCTTAGTGAGGGTTGTGCAGGGCCCCTTGTAGGCAGCCAGGGATGGGGCTTCCTATTGCCAGGCAAAGCAGTGGGGGAAGGACGCAGCACCAGTAAGAGGCTCAGAGACAGTGGGAGGCTTTCCAGGCTGAGAAACTCAAGGCTGTCTGCCTGATGCTGGGACACCCGGATTTTAAGGAGCCAACCCAAAGCAAGTGGATGACTGCAAGGTTACCGGCTTTCTGGATGATGTCTGCAACGAACCCCCTCTCTGCTCAGGGCTCAGCCAGCAGAACCGGGCGGAGGGGTTGGGCAGGTAAAGCCATTGGAAGCACATAAAATACAAGCAAAGCTAGCAGCACAGGGAAAACACACCCTAGTCCTCCAACTCCCCTGAGCCCCCTGAGCCTGAACTGGTCAAATACTAGTCTTGGGCGCCCTCTGGTGGTCATTTTGGGCAATGGTGCAAGCGTATGCAGGTTTAAGGATAGGTGGTCAGCGTTGGAGGGCTTGAGGGTGGACCACCTTGTCCTTACACAGATGGGGAAACCCTCCCCAGGAAGAAAGTGACTTGCCCAAGGTTGAACAGCAAGTCAGTGTCTGAACCAAGAACAGAACTCAGGCCTCTTTGCACTAGTGGGTCTCAAGGCATCTCCTCCATGGGAGGGAAGCCTGAGTGTACAAGAGGTTGTCCCCAGCGACTGGACAGCTGTATCACACGCTGATAAGTAGATGAATCATGTAGCACTTCCCTTCCCTGGCCTTGGGTTTCTCACCTCTAACCCTGGCAACTACATTGGCGAGGGGTGAGAGAATTGACCTGCTAAAAGCCAACCTTTCAGGAAATCCTAAAGTGGAAATTCCAACAGTTAGTATTGAAATTAATGGTCAAAGATCAGGTGTTTTTTTCCTCTGAGATCAGGAACAAGACAAGGACATCTGTTCTTGCCACTTCTGTTCAACACCATTCTGGAAATTTCCAGCCAGGGTACTTGAATAAGGAAAAAAAAGAAAAGGCATGCAGATTGCAAAGAAAGAAGTAAAACTATCTCTATTTATAGATGGAATGATGTAGTATATAGAAAACCCTATGGAATCCACACACACACACAAAAATGTTAGAATCGACAAGTTCAGCAAGGTTGCAGGATAGAAGATGAATATACATAATAGAAATGTATTTCCATACATTTGCAATGAGCATTTCAAAATGTAATTAAGAAAATAATTCCCATTGATACTTGCACCAAAGAAAATTAAATGCTTAGAATAAATTTAACAAAAGTATAAAACGTAAACTCTGCAAACTATAGAATGTTGTTATAAGTAATTAAAATACACTTAAATAATGAAAAAACACCCATGTTCATGATCCAAAAACTTAATAGTAAGATGGTAAGACTCCCCAAATTTATTTTCGGATTCAATACAATCTTCATCAAAATTGTAACTTGCAAAAATATAAAAACGAAAAAGACTTATGTATGCCTATGTATAACTGTTCAATAACTGCTATTATGTAAGCATCTAAGCTACAGATCTTCACAGATGAATGGGTGAAAAATTTGTGGGATATATATTCTATGGACTACTACACAGCTGTGAAAAAGATTAAATAATAACATTGGAGACAAAATGGATGGGCCCCAAGGTGATTATGATAAGTGGAATAAGTCAGGAAGTGAAAGGTAGATTTCAGATGGTTTAACTCATCGGAGGAGTATAAATAACCTAAAAACACACAGGCAAAATACAGTAGGACTAAGTCTTGGACTTAATGAAATACTTAAATACTCCAAAGGGAGTTGGGGGAGGGCGATAAAGAGGCATTAGCACAACTCGATTGGTGGCAAGTGAGTGGAGCACGTGCATATATGGAAGAGCAAAAGTGGAGGTCCAGAATTAAAACAAAGTTTAAGAGATCCTGACTTAAGGCCCTCACTGATGGTGCAAGGAGTTAAAGCACAGCTCTATGAAGCTATCTGCAGTCACTTCAGCACCAGTTTGATTCCCGGCCAGGGAGCTGACCCACATGGTGCAGCAGACCTCTCCTGACCCGCCCACTGCTCCCCTCAGCAGTGCACTTTGTTGATCTACCTGTTCTGCTCCCCACTCTGTGTCTGGTGAATCTTCTCACTGCCCCTGCACCTCTGGCCTGTACTCCAATTTTGTATGCATAAATAAATGCATATTTAAAAAAAAAGAAAAGAGAAATATACTGCTGAGGGAAGCAGCAGGCAAGACAGGAGAGATCTGCTCCGCCATGTGGGTCAGCTCCCTGGCCGGGGATCAGACTCATGCAGCAGTGGCTGGCCATCGCCTGATAGCTCTGAGACTGGCAATCCACAGAGAGAAAGCAAATTAGTGGTTGCCTAGGACTATGGAGGGTGATAAAGGAGAAATGAATATGGGGGCTCTTTGTGGGATGATAGAAACATCCTAAAATTAATTGTACAGCTGACCCAACTTGCGAATGTGCTGAAAAACATTGACCAGTATGCTTGCCATGGATGAACTGTATGACACATGAACCATATCACAGTAAAGCTGAGATTAAAAAACAAAGCAAAAATGCCCTTGGGGCCCATGACTCCACTTCTAGAAATTTCTTCTAGGAATCATGGAGTGCACAAGGGCATGTTATGGAGATTTCGTCACTGTATTGTTAGTGAGGCGGAAGTGTGAATATCACACAAGTTCGCTCATAGGGGGATGGGTCGGTATAGTCACCCCTGGGAGGCAACAGTGGAGCCTAGAAAATGAGAGTCACTTCCCTGGCAGGAGCCAGGTCCAGGAGAGACTGCCAAGTCAGAAAAAAGGCGCATTCAAAAAATTAACTGATGGAGGGGTGGGAAGAGCACAGTGTTGCACCACCAGGGAGGGCCCTGGATATATATTTTTAAGTAGAGCATGTATGTCTGTTCTCTATACATATAGATATTCTTACTTTATTTTTCTAAGATTTATTTAGTGATGCATACAGAATTGAGGCACAGGACAGTGGTGCAGGAGGGGTGAGAGGATTCACCAGAGACAGAGCGGGGAGCAGAACAGGCAGATCTATGAATTCAACACTCTTTAAAGATCATGTTAATCAATCTTTCATTCTTTTCACTTTAATTCTCTCCATCTTTCCTTCAAA